CTTGAATGAGCCCCAGCAGTGGTCCCTCACTGCCACCAACTCAGGGCCCACTGGAGGCCCAGCACGGTCCTCATGCTGCTCCCAAACAGCTGACTGACAGCTGGCTCCAGGACCTCAAGCTGCCCACTGGGTCGACAGAACAAGATGACAAGCATCTTATAGTCGGGCACCTGTGCTGGTTGCCAGTGAAGCCTGGGATCATGACTCCGAGCTTCTCTTGCACTGGCAAGTATAGTGCAATTGGGATCTGATCCCCAATCTCAAAACTGCATGCCCTGCCATGCATGGGATTAGATCCCAACATGCCTTTAACTGAACACCTGTCAGCAGCCTCATATTTATACTACTATATTTTTTCCCATACAGCACATGACCTCTTCCCCTTGGGGTATTTATTTCAAGAGGGGAAGCTGTTTTCCTCACTGAAAAAGCAGTCCTGGAGGCACTGTGCATGACATGTAGCTGCCACGAGGGCTGTGGCTTGTGCCTATTGAGCAAACTGAAGGTGCGGTGTCCTGCATTAACCCTTAACAGACAGCTATGGCTGTTGAGTCAGGGCAGGCAATTATTTTGGGTAGAGAACTGCTTAATGAGGTTTGGTGAGCTTTTGAGGGCTGCATGGGGAGTGCCCCCCTTGATAGTTGGCCCACCCACTGGTCACCATCTTGGGACTGGAAGTTCCTCCTCCTGCCCCCTGGAAATACTTTTTTTTTTTTTTTTTTTTTTGGGGGGGGGGGGGGGGGGTTGCCATCTTAGAAATGCAGAGAAAAAGTCAAATCATACCATAAAAGTCAAACACCTATTATAACACTTTACATTTTCTTGCAAAAACATATTTTCGTTATGCTTCATGTTTGTGTACTGTAGGTGGAGGTGGAGGTGATTGCATAATAACTTGCAAGTAAATTCTTAGCCTTGTATATTGTGTAGGGGGTATTGTGTGTCTGCATATGGTGGGGTGTGGTGTGGAGGGGTGACAGGGTATGTTGTGGGGTGCGAGGGAGAGTGGGAGGTGGGTGTGGGGACTACCCACACTCTCCCCATGATGCAGCAGCAGCAGGCGGGGGTGCCTGGCACAGATGCTGGTGCCCAGCAGCGCACAGATCTGGCCAGAACTGCACACTGCAGCAAGGAGCACAGCCCGACTGAGCTGCCTCTGTCACCAGTGCTCCATGCTGCGGATGCGAAGCCCGCACGCTCACGTGCCACAGGAAGGAAGCTCCACGTGCTGGAGCCGGCTGCCTTTCCCAATCCCTACCTGCAGCTGGATCAAAGTGTCTGGTGGGCCAGATCTGGCCCATGAGCTGCATTTTGCCCGCCCCTGGGTTAAGCACTATAGCTTGTGCTCAAAGCAGCAAGTGAGCTACTGGTAGCATCACCAAGACTTGTAACGTGGAAACAAAACTTTACAGGAGCTACTCAGTGTCCTTGCAAGGGGGTGGGACCTAAACTCGTATGACAATAGTAAGTCCTCCTGAAAACATAAGATGCTGATTGAAGATATAGTAATAAATAATATCAGTAATGAGACAGAATCCAGGAGTATCTAAATTTTCCCAGGATATAGCTCCTTCCCTCCCACCCAGACCCACTTACTTATCATGGAAAAGTGTGTAATGCCCTGTCAGTGGGTTTTTAAAAAATAAATATTAACATAAGAAACAAGGAAGAAAACTAGCATTATGTGCTCAGCTACACAAATTGTCTATTCTACGGACTACAATGCAGGAACCTTATTCCAATGCTGAAACGTAAATTAAAACATACGGTAATGTGATTGAAGCAGTCATTCTAGCAAGTGAATCTAAAAACAGCCCCATGCTAAAAACAGCCCCATGCTTTATTTTTAGGTGAGCAGTGTCCCGTGCTTAAGAGCATTTTATAGGTAATCCTAATGTCCACTATGGCTTTTCTACATGGGGAAAAGGGGCCAGAAGATGATGCAATATAACTATCCAGACTCACGCTATTTTGGGATAAAGATCTCTTATACTAGTATAATTACTTGTGCTAAAATAAAGCAACTTTTACTCTGCAATAAGAGTATCTGCAGAGGAAGTTTCTGATAAGCAACTGCTTGATGTAGATCAGCCCTATACAGGGAAGAAGCATCAGTGACTCAGAATCATAGGAAATTAGGTTTGGAAGGGACCTCAGCAGTTCATCTAACCCAACCCCCTGATCAAAGCAAGACCATCCCCAAATAGATCATCCCAGCCAAGGCTTTGCTCACCCAGGTCTTAAAAACCTCCAAGGATGGAGACTACACAACCGCTCTGGATAGCCTGTTCCAGTGCTTAACTGCCCTCCTAGTGAGAAAGTTTTTCCTAATGTCTAATCTAAACTTCTCTTGCTGCAACTTGAGACCACTGCTCCTTGTTCTGTCTTCTGTCAGCACTAAGAACAGTTTAGCCCCATCCTCTTTGGAATCCCCCTTCAGGCAGTTGAAGGCTGCTATTAAATCCCCCCTTAGTTTTCTCTTCTCCAGATTAAGAAAGACCAGTTTCCTCAGCCTGTCCTCATATACATCTGTGGATGAAGACAACCAGAATGGAATTATTTCTGAGCCATCATCCTTTTCATAAGTCATTCTTCATATTATCCCTTGAATTTACTTGGAAGTATTGGGGGAGATAGGAAGAGGCACAGGCATAGCTTTGTGATGTTTAGGTTCCTTAGATTAAACTGGATCTCACCTCTACTAGTGACTGAAATAAATGAAAGGGGTTAGGGGGACTGGAGACGGATTTCCATTCTTTGTTATGCAGTCACACTCTCCTTGTGGAAATAAATGATGATGTATGATTCTTTTGCTAGAGGGATGTTAAGCATTGCATTTTTAATGCATCTGCTCATCATATGTGTTTTCTACCTTCAAGTAAGCTATGCCATTTTTAGTTATAATTAAAGATACATACCAGCAGCATAGACCTTTGTCATTCCAGTTTTCTTCAAAAGATGCATTGAGGAATCTTTACTGTTGAAGCTCAGCAACTATATTTACCAGGCTTAATGCTTCAGCCCAGGGGTGTCCAACACCTCAAGGGCCACAGGCTGGATATATCCTATGGGGCATCCCACAGGCAGATCTAGCCTGGGCCATGTGGCAGCAGGACAAGTGACCATAGGGAAACCACAGGCAATGCTCTGCAGCATGCTATGCTCATCACTGGTCACGCCCCCAATTTCCAGTAGCCCACCCACCTGATAGAGTGGCTTCATGGCCAGACCTGGCCTGCAGGCCACACTGGACACCTACACGTTAGCCCTTTACTTGTCTCTGTTAAAATCATGGTTTTTTTTATAACATCATTATGTCAAAACCTGTCTGCAGAACACCTGTCATTAAAATAACACACAGGCAAAGGCCAATATTCTGAATGTGCTTAAAGAAGATCCAGGACAATTATAATTTAAAAGCTGTCTCATTTAGCCAGGGTTACTTACACAGATAGTACCTTGAGCTCTGTCCTTTGACCCAGTTATGCAGATAACCTAATTAGCTGCTTACTCTAATCTAAAGGAAAGAACAGGCTTAATGGAAGCAAGCACAAGGCACTGAACACACAGAAGAAACTGACTGGCTTTGTTACAGAATTATTCTGCTATACCAAGTGGGGACCAACCTTTTTGGCAGGCATACCATAAGTTAGCCCCACAGCCTCCTCAAAAGTGCCACTCTGATTCCTTTCCCTTACCCAAACTGCTGCTTCACTTTCTGCCCCCTTCCTTTACTTCCTGACCAAACTGCTGCTCCACTTACTGCTTCCTAGCCTATGCTCCCTGCCTGATCTTCTGCTTTGCTTTCTGCTCCCTGGCCTATCTGCCACTGTGCTGCCTGTCCCCTCCCCAATCTGCCACATGCTGTATAGAGGCTACCTGTGCCACTTGTGGCACCTACGCTGCAGGTTGGCCACCCCTATACAATGTTCATATAGACAAACTATTGGAAACAAAGTTAATTTTACGGCAGGATAATTACTGAGATTTTGAAGCAATTAATTTGGAGTTTGGCCTTTGCTTGTAGATTATTTTTATGGCAGTTATTCTGCTGAAGCTATATCAGCTAGCTAGCCTGTGTAGAAAAGCCCAACACACTTCAATTTACACACACACAACATCTCCATATTTTTTATTTTAAGGAAATACCGCCTGCTTGATGCCCCATCTATGCTAGGATATTCAAAGGAGTCTTGCATTTCAATAGGATTTGAGTTCCTGGCTCCTTTGAAAACCCAGAGCTTAATATTTACAAGCCAGTGTCAGTAATCCTCATATCTTTATTACAAAATGTAGTTGCAATTGGTATTTTTAATAATTCCCCAACCCATGGGGTCATATAATTGTGGCCATCTTAGCTGTGATGTATTTATTTTTTAATAGCAGCTTTCTATCCCTAGTGGTTGTAAAATCTTGAAACTACTCCCCTGAAGGGCTCAAAGCCAAAAGAAAAAATAAACAAACAAATGATTTTTATAATATGATCCGAGAGGCCTGATTCATTATTCTGGAAGCTAAGATTGAAAAATTTTAGTCTTAAATGTTGCAATATTGCCAGTATCCATTAATACAAATACAGTCCAGCAACTCAGATACTGTTCTACTGCATGAGGTTCTGAAACTGAAAACACAAGAGTAATGCTGACAAGTAACTTCACTTTCTATATTCTCTGAGCTTGAACAGCTATCAGCCCAACTTGTGACAAGACTAAGTTTTAAGTTTTCTACCTAAAAACTCTGGTGGCTTCTGGTAACATTGATAAGATGATGAGTCTAACAGACATTTTCTACCTAACAGTAGCTTTGCAAATTGAGATGTATGGTAACATATTCCAAAAGGATGAAGGCTATACGTTCCCAAATGTAATGTTTTATGGGATCTTTCAAGAAAGTTTATTACAACTGCTGTTATAATTCTGGACAAAAATGGCACCTGTTCTCAGCATTCCTGTAAACAGCTCTGAGTTAGGACTTCAGGTCTAGCTCAACTCCTCTCAGTACACAGCAAGACTGTCATAACCGAACAGTGTTCTCAGTGAGGGCAAGTGTGTCGTCACTGCCGCACCACTAAAAGGTATTTCAGAGGTTTAGTTAGCTTTGCTAAAGCCAAAATGGTTTCAGCATTTTTATTATAAATCCCTGTGCCCTAAGTAGGTAACTAGGCCAGAAGAGATTGCTTTAAGGCAAGTGATGATTCAGCCCCAAATGAAATCTTGTTCCAAATATAGGCTATTTCTTTTCTGTTTATTACTGCACCACTTAAACATTTTTACACCTCTGCCATTTATTTTGCAATACCTGCAAAGCACTCCAATTTCCAGTGCTAATAGCAAAGCCAATTTTTTCAGTCCTTCTTGGTATCAGTAAATGGTATGCCTGCTATGAAGCATTAGCCAATGGCGGCCTTCATTAGAAGACAAGTATGAGTTAATAGATTGAAATACTGAAACTATACCTGCCTAACACCTGGTTTTGGGTCTGAAAAATCAGTGTGTATATGTTGGGGTAGGGTTGGGGGGTGGTTCTTAAATTGTGGCTACATCTAAATTTTCATGACTTTTGAGGATACTAGGGTCACAGCCATACACAGATGATTAAAATATTAATCATTAGCAGAAGTGATTTCTCAGCATAACTCCTCATTCCTACTGCTACAGATAAATGAATGCATGTTAGTTGTTATTTCAGGTCCTGGTGTCAAGTAGTTCAGTGTTGGCAGCATGACAAATACAAAGGCTGCTAAGCAGGTTTAAATTACCTGAGTAGGCAACTTCAAATGCCTACTTCGGAAGTCCCAAGCACCAAAATCAATTGCTATCAGCTGATACAGTCACTTACCTTGTGCATGACAATCTTCCGCTGAGCTGGTTCTGCCACATCAATCATTTTCTGTACCACGTAGTTGGCATACTGATCTTTCATCATGGTGTATAAGGCACTGTGAGGGCCATCGTTCATAGTGCACACCTCATCGATCAACATGGCACGCTCTGTGCGAGAGGCATGAGTAACACATTTCTCCACAACGTTGCTGCAATGAAACAAGGAGACAGCAGATGACTGTGACATCCTTAAATAGATTTCCGATCAATGGGCGTATCTAACAGGAAAGACCATTACAGAAGCACAGACATGCTGGTATGAAAATTCAGGTTTGAAGAACTTTGGGATCTATCTAACAGCACAATGCAATGGCAAACAGATAACCCAAACTACCTTAGAACTCATTAACTTGCATGCTTAAGTCTAAGCAGTACAAGTCAGTGCTGTGTAGAGACACCAGAGTTGCTCTGCATAACCAAGCTCAGACACTTGAAGCTGTAAAGCTGCATTAGCAAGGCTCTGTGCCTAAAAAGGGCTTGTTAGCCCAAGTATAGCACTGCTGCATGACTTCCAGAGACAGATAAGGTTTGCCTGCCTCGCACATTATGTAGACGCCAGCACACAAGTTAGCACATTCATAGCTATCCTGGTGCATTCTCTATATCTTGAAAGCAAGTGGTCTTTGATTATAAGGTGTATCAAGGTTCTCATCGCTGAGGAATCTGAACTGTTTTCAGCTGCTGCTTAGTATTATTTCTCCACATGAATGGAAGTCCATAGTTAGAGCAGGAGAATACAACTCAGAAAAGAAGTGGCCTGATGCCAGTGTACTAGTTTTAGCGTGTCTCTGGGACTCCAAGTTAAAACAGGATATGTGAAAGACAGAAAGGGTTTGGCCAGTCAATCAACATGTTCTGTCCATGTCATACAACCACAAAGTGATTTGCTATAACTGGAACTCTTTGCTCAAGGGAAAAACATGAATAATTAATACTTCATGGGACAAGGGTAGAAAAGAGAAAGGCAAAGCAAGGAGGAAGGAATCTGAAAAACCTGTTAAGCTACTTTTTTGGTCCCTGAACATACTTTACCCATTTTACTTAATGGCACAAGTCCTGCATGTTACTGAGCATTAAAGACTACAGCACAAATTAAGTGCAATTAAACCTCAGACTATATTACGTATTCAGTACAGTTTATTTAGACACATGCACACATTTTCAAATGTAGCTGGTGTTTTCTAATAGTTAGAGATGACAGTGTCTGATAGTGTGCATCTCCAGGATGTGTGTCAAGATACTGCTGTGTGCACTTCAGTCTCTTAGTTTACAAAATAGTTATCGATTTTATTCTATACACCTCAGAGGGGTCTGCGAGTCTTAATTAATATATGGAAAACACATAGTTTCATAGTAGCTAGGGTCAGGAGGGACCTGAACAGATCATCTAGCCTGACCCCCTGCCACAGGCAGGAATGAATGCTGGGTTCACAAGACCCCAGACAGATCATCCAACCTCCTCTTGAATTTGCCCAAGGTAGGGGTGAGGACCACTTCCCTGGGAAGCTGGTTCCAGATTTTGGCCACCCTAACTGTAAAGTATTGCCTTCTGATCTCTAAAAAAGCACTACTACACAGCCACCAGTGCTGGTACACAGATTTCTTAATCTATATTATGGGACAAGGTAAGATAATATCCAACTTTTAGTCCCTAGCAAGACATCTTAGTGGTAATGGAATTCTCTGGACTGTTTTGTCCAAAGAAGTGCTCAGCAAGTAGGTCAGAAAGTTGTGTTGACAGGTTTAAAATGGGAGCTGTAACCTACTCTTGCCTAACTCTTGGTCAAATAACAGGGTCCTGAAGTAAGGCAACACCTGTCATCCTCCCTGTTACTACAGACAGCCATTTCACTGGGCCCAAATTTCCTCATTAAATTCATGCTGGATTTTTAAGCAAAGGAATACACTTTTATAAACAACAGTACTGTCCACAGCAAGAACTAATTTGAGCTAGCCCTCCCTTAAAAAGATCTTCTGCAATGCTAGCAAACATTAGTATTTTAAGGACTTTAATAAGCAAATACATACCTAGCAAATTTATGCTGACTCAACACAAGTACATTGCCTCTAATTTCTGCTACAATCTTGCTTTTATCTTCTGGCCGCCCGTGTTCTAGTACATGCTGGATAACATAGTTCCCGTACTGATCCTGTTCGAGAGACAGCAAAAAAAGTGAGTGCACAGCAACTACAAATACCAAAGCAAGCAAGCTTTCATTGCCCATTAATTCATTTGATAAGCTACACAATAATTACACCATAATTTATCTAAAGCAACTATCACTTAAATCATATAAGCGCTCTTTCTATTGTTAGTCATATTCTAAAATTTTACTGTGATGTGAAGTACCGTAGCTTTGTACCAAGTATAATTCAAAATAATATGACTGACTGTGGAGTATGTTGATATGCCAGCTGCTTCAGGAAAAGCACTATTTCAAATGTCCTCCCTCTTCCTCTCAGTTCTAAAACACAGTAACACCCACCCCTAAACACTAACGCACAGTTCACAGTGGTATTCACATCCTCCCTCCAAATCTATTTTTAAGATCCTACCTGTGCTGTACCACCCAAAGTAAAACAGACTTATTAAAATGACTAAATCTCTCTCTGCCTACTTAAGGAACCTAAAATGCATGCTTCTAACACATGTACCAGGTGCAGAACATGTTGTTACCACTTTTCTCCCTAGGTTGTTTTTGATACCCCATTACACACTGTTCTTATTTACACTGTAAGCTCCTTGAGGCAGGGATGGTTTTTACTGTAAACTAGAATAGCAGTCAACAGGGTAGGGTCTCAATCCAGACTGAAGCAACTGTAATGTGAAGCAGTAACTAAAAATGCTCTACAGCAGTCTCCCTGCAGGCTCCCATACTCTACCTGCACAAGCTGCTCAGTGTGTTGATGGAGCTCCTCCAAGATGGGAAGAGTCTGCTCAGGGAGACAGTGCTCCAGGATCCTCTGGATTACACGACAGCCATATGGATGTGTAGACAATGCAAACACCTGCATTTAAGAGACATGAGCAAGCAAAAGCAAAACATTTCTGAGTCGCCTGCAAAACTGAAAAGGCAGTTTCTTGCGCGCACACAAAAAGAAAAAGGTCAAAGCACCAAATCAAACCACAAACTTCTCTGACCACAGTGCATCAAAAGGCACTGTAACATAAGAAATGGTGCACAGGACCTGTGGCTCAATTCCAGCTCTGCCACTACCCTGCTGGGTGACCGTGGGCATCTTACTTTCCTTCTGCATCTCAGTTTCCCCAACTGTAAAACAGGGGTGATGATACCTCCTTTGTAAAATGCTTTGAGATCCACTGATGAAAAGTATTAAGAGACAATTGATTAGAGGCTGCTTACATTTATTTCCACTGTGGAAATACTGCATGTTTGTGGCTATATAACTGGTTTAAAGCTATGAGAGACAGGGAGAAAAAAAGTCCACTGACAGCTAAGTGTATTTGTGTCCTCAATCTATTGAGTGTCTTGCTTGCTGAAGACACTAGCACCTTTGCCAGTAACTGAATTTCCTCACATTGTTTGTAGTGAGTATAGCCTTGGAAGAACCTTTTCCCCCCCACTTCCAAACAGGATGTGAATGTGTTGAGAAGACTTGTTCACTGCAATGCTGCTGTTCAACTTCTTTGTTTAAAGCAAAATATCCTTTTCAGTTACTTAAAAACAAACAAAGCAGCAATATTATACATAGGAGCCTGCTCACCCTATAAAACACACAGTAACACTCCTTTGAGTTCAACAAGCACAAAAAAGAATTGGTACAGATAAATTCTGAGAAGCAATCTTGAGGCATCATATTTACTCCTTCAATATGAAAGTCCTGAAGGACCTGCTCAGTTTACAAGTCAAAGATAATTCTTCTAACTGCCATAACCTGGGATCAAAGTTTTCAGCTATACTCTGCCTTTTAGACAGTCTTTCACTAATGCTCCACTGAGAGGCTTTTCATTTCAAACTTTGCCAGCAAGTTTGTAGAGGAACGTGTCAGACAAAATTCCTACTTCTTCCCTCGCGACTGAACAGTTCTGCAGTTCCAGCAGCAATAGAAAAATTCTAGGCGCATTAGTAAAATAAGATGCAACTTGAAGACATACTTGGAGCAGTGTCAATGAATAAAAAAGTGCTATTTTTACTATCACTTTTCTGACCATTAAATTGA